GGAGGCTGAGGCAGGAGGATCACTTGAGCCCAGGAGTCTGAGGTTGCTGTGAGCTAGGCTGATGCCACGGCACTCACTCTAGCCCGGGCAACAAAGTGAGACTCTGTCTCAAAAAAAAAAAAAACCCAGGGAGCACCAAACACAACTCCAAGTGGCTCTTGATGTCATTTCAGTTCATTTCCAGGGCCCCCGACAATGGTGGTTTCCTGCGAATGTAACTTCATCCAGCTTTTTCCCTAAACTATATTCCCCGCGGATATGGTTTCTTTGAGTGACGTGGGAGAGAGTCATAGAAGAGGAATCTTCAAAATAGTCCCCACCCCCAGGGAGTTTACAGAAAGGGCTGGGGCTGTGAAAAGTCCACCAAGGGCCTGGTTAGGGAAGATTTGACATTTGAGCTGGGCTCTGAAGGATGAATAGGAGTTTGCTGGTTGGGTAAGTGCAGAAAAAGGGCATGCAAAGGCCTGAAGCAAGATGGGCTTGACACTGAGGGAGCTGAGAACCAGAAGGTGTGTCCAGAGTTGGTGCCTTCAAGGTAGGTGGTGGGGAGCCATGGTGGGCATTTGAGAAGGAGGTGGAGCTGCCCATTGGTTCAGGTAGCGGGGCTGGAGGCAGGTGCTCAGGCCTCACTGTGGGAGGCAGGGTGTCAGGTTTGGGCTTTGGGTCCTGTGAGTACGGTACAGAGAGGGTGCTTTGTCCTGGGAGGTAGCTCAGGAAGAGCAGGGCCTGGGGCTGGCCAGGCCTTTGTCAAATCCTGGTTCCACCCCGATTGGTTGTGCGACCTTGGCAAGTCACTCAATCTCTGAAATAGTTAAGAGTATCAAGTGGTGTCACGAGTTCTACTTGGAGGGTTGGCTTTGGTGTGACTTGGGGCAAGTTACTTACCCTCTCTGGGCCTCACTGCACCTACCGCCTAGGGCTGAAGTGGGGAACATCCTGGAAACTCACGGCACATACTTGGGGCGGTGCCAGCTCAGGGTCATCGCTGTTGTCTTGCTCTAAGGATGGCCTTTCACAGCCTCTGCTTTCCTCCCCTGGGTGGGACCTGGGAGGAAAAATGACTCTCCCGAGGTCCTGAGCTGGGACTTAAACCCTGGTCTCTGTGACCCCAGAGTCCATGGCTGCGAACCAGGGTCTTAAATGAGCCCCAGGAGGGTGAGACGCCCGCATTATGCCTGGGCTGTGGTAGGTGCTGGTTAAATGGGTGGTGGCCAGAGTCCCCTATGGGGTGGCCCTGGGCATGGGTGTGGGGCGGGCCAGGCACCCACAGCCCTTCCTTTTAGACCCGTCAGTTACGTACCAGGCGCTCCATGGAGCGAGGCCTCAGCTGCACCCAGCACGGAGGCCCTGCCTGGGAGAGATGCATTTTTGTTCTAGGCCCAGCCAAGGGCCTGTAACTGTAGCCGGGCAGCCTCGAAGCTGCTGGGCCGGTTTTGGGGGCAGGGTCCAGGCCTGGTGTGAACTCTTAGTGCCTCTGCCTTTCCTTTCTTTCCTTGAGTATCCACTTCTCAGTTGGTGGCCGCCCCATGAAGGTGGCAGGAAAAGCTCTTGTGTATGAGCCCATACTTCCTGGGTTACAGACCCCTGCATGACCTGGGCCCCCATCTCATATCACAGCTCCCCCAGGAGGTGGGCCAGGCAGTGGCCCTCACCTTCCTTCTAGATTCAGGACATCAGCCAGAGCACGCTCCCTGAGTTGTGGAGAGTGGGGAGTCCTGGCAGGGCATGCAGGAAGGGGAGGGGCATTGGGCAAGGCCTTGAATGGTGGGGAGCATCTCACCTGGCCCCTGATAGAGCAGGGGCCACTTCCAGATCTGTGTTCTGCAGAATATGCTACCTCAAGAGACCCACAGCAGATCCCACAAAGGAAGCAGAGAGACCATGCAAGCAAGCAAGGAACTTGGTTCTGAGCTTCCTGGCAACCGAGGTGAAAAGTAGAACTTGTAGGTTAAGAGAACACACATGGTGGCCAGGCATGGTGGCTCACGCGTATAATCCTAGCACTCTGGGAGGCCGAGGCAGGAGGATTGCTTGAGCTCAAGAGTTCGAGACCAGCCTCAGCAAGAGCGAGACCCCGTCTCTACTAAAATAGATTCGCCAAAATAACTAGAAAGGATGGGAGGCCAGGTTGTCTTTCTTTGCAAGGTGTCTTCTCCAGGGATGCCTAAGCCATGAGCTATGTGGCTATGGGATTTGGGTTTTCTGTTTTTAAAAACTCCAAAACACTTTTTAGGGTCTTGTGAGGCTGAGGTGAGGGGGCAGGGCGCAGGCAAGGAACAGCCTCTCAGGCCATGCGGGCAGGTCAACACAGGCCTGATGTCTGCGGGCCTGATTCGGAAGGTAGGTGGACTCGGGGTTCGAATCGTAGCTCCCCACCTGCCAGCTGTGTGACAGGGTGAGTCACTTCACCTCTCTGAGCTGGTTCCTCATGCGTAAAGTGGCGGTGATGACAGTGCCTACCTCACAGGGTTGTCGGGAGGGTGGTGGCTGTGTGGAGCTCGGCGTGGGGCGTCCAGGAGGCTTGTGGCCTTGGCGATCTGAGCAGTGGAATCTCAGAGCTTTGGGGGACCTTGCAGGTCACCTGGTCCAGTCTGCTGCAGTGAGGGGAAGGCACTTGCCCAGGGCCATGTGGCCAGTGAGGGCCAGAGCTCCCCAGTGCCCAGCTTAGTGTCTCAGTTTCCCCTCACACATGAAGGCAGAACCCCAGGGCTCAGAGAGACCTGTGGGCACCAGCTGTGGGAGTGACTCAGTGTACCACACTTCACTGGCTTGTTCGGTGGGCTCCGGGAGGGCGAGGAGAGAGCCTCAACCCCAGCGGCCCTGAAAGGCTGGGTTCAAAGATGCCATAGAGCTGTGGGTCAGTGTAGGCCTCTCAGAAGGGTAGATTCTGAGTTGGGGTTATTATTCATTTGTCTGTTTGTCTAAATAGAGCTAGAACTTGACTTATAGGACCAGGAAAATTGACTATATAGGAAGGAAGAGAAGGAGGGAGCACAGATACACAGTGCTCAAGATTAATTTTACTCTGAGCTTCCTGGCAGCTAAAGTGAAAAGGTATACATGCTCATATATGTAGCTTTTTTTGTTCCTGTTCCTCACAGGAAATGGAGTTTTTCGAAGAAATTTTTCTCATGGTACTGAGCATAGAAGACTGAGTAATGCAGTGACAGGTGTCATGCGTCTGGCTTTTATAGCTTCTCCTGGCGTGCCAAAATGGACGATGAGGTTTTCCGGATGAGCATGGTGGGGAGGGCCATTCCCAGCAGGGGCGGCCTGGGAATGTGAGTGAACTGGCAGGTCTGGGGCAGAGGCAGGTGGCAGCGCCCGTCCCACGCCCGCACCGACGTCGCAGGTCTGTCCTGTCGTTTCAGTTGGGCCATGTGGTGCTCTCCCCAGTCTGGTTCCTCTACAGCCTGCTCATGAAGCTGTTCCAGCGCTCCTCGCCGGCCATCACCCTCCAGAGCCCGGACGTCAAGTACCCGCTGCGGCTCGTCGACAAGGAGGTGAGCGCCGGCACCGCCTCCCCCAGCCAGCGCCGCGGCGTTTCTCGGGCGCCTGCCCGGTGCTCTGGCCTGGGCCCCTCTGAAGTAGGTCCTGTGATCTGCCTGCTTTACACATGGAGAAAGCGAGGTGATGTCCTTTGCTAAGGCCACCAGGAAGTGGTGGAGGGACTTAAACCCAGGTCTCTCTGACCACAGAGCCCGCTCTCTGAGCCACCCCGACTGTCC